TTTTGTAGTATTTTTCCTCTTTTCTCATTTTATTTATTGGATCCCACAATGTTGAAGACATAAAGAAAATTAGAAACCAAAAAATTCAGCATGTACCGTGGATTGATTACCTGCACAAAGTAATCATTCCACAGGATGGCGCCAATGTTCAGACTGATCTTCTCCCTCGGGGGTTTGGCCTCAGGGTCAATCCTTCCTACTTTCACCACGCTGAAGCTGTCATTGAGGATCTGAATGTTCATGATGTCATATAATGCCGGGATGTCCCCCTCAGAATTAAACTTCATTACTCCCCAAACTTGGTGTGGAAATTGGTTTTCTTGAGGTAACGAAGCACCTGAGGTATTTTGGAATACCAAATATTTCAGAACATGAGCTTTATGACAACTGTATTATACTAAATAAAAATACTAAAGTGTCAACTCCACCAAAAGCTGTGTTTTTTAATCTTTTATTTTATTATAGTTACACCTAACAAAAATCTAAATAATCAGAAAATAAAAAAAATACCTAAAGGATAACTCAGTTTTTGTGGCCATTGTGGCCATCACCAGAATGTATTTTTTTCTTCTTTTTTTTACAAATTAGTGAGTTTTTCTGTCTTTACCCCCTGTCCCATTCCTTGTCTCCTTTTCTTTCCCAGTCACCTTTACATTTTACATTATGGAGAATCCATCAAGAGTGTGTGTGACGTCATCACTTGACCAGACCAACTAGATGGGTTTGAGAAGTATAGTGTTTTCATCACAAAGTGCCCATCTGTCAAGTGTGTGACATCATCACTTGACTAGACCAACTAGAAAGCTTTGGGAAATATAGTGAAAGGGGGGATTTACCACAAAGTCCCCATCCATGGAGTATGTGACACCCTCATTTGACTAGACCAACTAGATGGTTTTGAGAAGTATGGAGGAGGAGGATTTCACAACAAAGTTTCCATTCATCGAGTGTGTGATATCATCACTTGACTAGAACAACTAGATGGCTTTGAGAAAAATAGTGGAGGGGAAATGAATGGCAAAATCCCCATTCATTGAGTGTGTGACATCATTACTTGACTATAGCAACTAGATTAAATTGTAAAAATATGGTGGAGGGGGGATTTCACCATAAAGTCTCCAACCATTGAGTGTGTGACATCGACACTTGACTAGACCAACTAGAAGGCTATGGAAAATATGGTGGGGGGAGCTTTCATCACAAAGTCCCCATCCATTGAGTATGTGACACCATTTTTTGACTAGACCAACTAGATGGCTTTGAGAAGTATGGAAGAGAGGGGATTTAACACAAAAGTTTCTATTCATTGAGTGTGTGACATCATCACTTGACTAGATCACCTAGATGGGTTTGAGTAGTATGGTGGAGGGGGAAATTCATGAAGAAATCCCCATGACTAGAGCAACTAGACTGAATTGGAGTATATGGTGGAGCTAGGATTTCACCACAAAGTCCCCATCCATTGAGTGTGTGACACCATAACTTAAGTAGACCAACTAGATGCCTTTGAGAAATATGGAGGAGGGGGATTTCACAACAAAGTTTCTACTTATCGAGTGTGGGAAATCATCACTTGTCTAGACCAACTAGATGGCTTTGAGACATATGATGGAGGGTGGGATTCATGAAAACGTGCCCATTCATCAAGTGTGTGACATCATTACTCGACTACTCCAACTAGATGGCTTTGGGAAATATGGTGGAGGGTGGGATTTCACCTCAAACTCTCCAAACATTGAGTGTGTGACATTATCACTTGACTAGTCTAACTAAAAGGCTTTGGGAAGTATGGTGTAGAGGGGATTTTACCATAAAGTCCCCATCCTTATGAGTGTGTGACATTGTCACTTGAATAGACCAACTAGAAGGTTTTGGGAAGTATGGGGGAGGGGTTATTTCACCACAAAGTCCCCATCCATTGAGTATGTGACACCATCATTTGACTACACTAACTAAATGGTTTTGAGAAGTATAAAGGGGGGATTTCACAACAAAATATCTATCTATCTATCTATCTATCTATCTATCTATCTATCTATCTATCTATTGAGTGTGACTTCATCACTTACTGTAACTAGACCAACTAGATGGCTTTGAGAAGTGTGGAAAGGGGGAATTTCACAGCAGAGTTTCTATCCATCGAGTGTGTGACATCATCACTTGGCTAGACCAACTAGAAGGCTTTGAGAAGTATGGAGGATTTCACAGCAAAGTTTCTATCCATTGAGTGTGTGACATCATCACTTGACTAGACCAACTAGAAGGCTTTTGGAAGTATGGTGGAGAGTGAGGATTTCAACAAAAAATTCCCCAAAAATCAAGTTTGTGACATTGTCACTTGACTAGACCAAGTAGAAGACTTTGGGAAGTATGGCGGAGGGGGGATTCACAAACCAATGAGTGTGCGACGTCGTCACTTGACTAGACCAACTAGAAGGGTTTGGGAAGTATGATGGAGGGGGAATTTCATCACAAAATTCCCATCCATCGGGTGTGTGGCATCATGATTTGATTAGACTAGCTAGAAGGCTTTGGGAAGTATGGTGGAGTGGGGATTTCACTACAAAGTCCCAAAGAGGAGTGTCAAATGTCAACAAGCTTTCAAGACAGAAATATTGGTTTTGGGTGGAGATATCCACTGATAATAGAGATGGTTGGTCTAGGAATATTCTATTGCCTATTGCATATTCTATTACTTTTTGAGTATTTTATTCAGAGACTCATGGTGGTGTTACCCATGCCTTTAGGATGCATTGGAGACTGGGGCCAAGGCAGGTTATTTTTTTCTGGTGATATGTTTGTTTACAAATGGCTTTTGTGTTGTGGGGGGCAGAGGGCTGTCAAAAAAGCAGACCTTCCTTTTGCCCTTCAATCACATTTTGCAGTAAATGCATCATGGATACACATGCCTTTTACCAACATGTAGTCCTACCCTATTGCCTAATTGCATTGGTGCCAGCTTACTAAGGAAACATTTAGGACCTGGCAAGATCCAAAGTATGGCTGCAGAAAAACCTGTGCTTTACTGGTTGCTGGCTGTAGTAACAGAATGTCCTCATGATTATCTAATGTATATACAACTGCACTGCTTGCAAAGGAGATTCTATGATTCTTATGAATGTTGCTAAGATAGACTTACCATCCTGAAGCAGCCTGTGCATTTTGCAGGCCCCTTTGACTCCTATGAGGTTTGCACAGTTCTTTGGACCATATGAGGCTGGCATATCTATACGATTTACAGGACTGTGCTTTATATGTGAAAGTATCCATGACCCATGATAGACATGTGGGAACATTGAGGTCATTCTGTGATATATGTTGGATTGCTTCAATACGTGTATCCATTGCTGATGGATCCAGAGTCAATTATGATTATTGGGACCAGGGGCGGACTGATAACTCATGGGGCCCCCGGGCAATAGGGTATCATGGGGCCCCTGTGTCCTCGCCCACACCCAAAAAAGCCTATGAAAAAGCCAATGAAATGTACCAGGAGCATCTCATGGGGCCCCCTACTGACCCTGGGCCCTCGGGCAGTGCCCGAGTGTTCGAATGGTCAGTCCGCCCCTGAATGGGACTGTGCATTAGATGTAGAAGTAAGCATGGCCAATGAAAGTTATATGGATGCATTGAGGTTGTTCTTGGATATATGTTGGAGTGGGATACAAGTATACATTTCTGATGAATCCAAAGTCAATTACGATTAACGGGATTGTGCATTAGATGTAGAAGCATGATTCCTGAAACATATACAGGTGCATTGAATTTTTTTTTTATATATGCTGGATTGCTACAATACATGTATTCACTACCAATGAATCCTAAGTCAATTGTGATTAAGGGGACTGTACATTATATGCAGAAGTAGGCATGATCCGTGAAAGACATTGGGTGCATTGAGATTACTCTTTGATATATGTTGGATTTCTGCAATATATGTATCTACTGCCGATGAATCCTACGTAAATAAGGATTAAGGGACTGTGCATTGTACATGGAAGCAAACATGATCCATGAAAGATGTATTGGTGCATGGAGGTCATTCTTTGACATATGTTGGATGGCTACCATACATATACTAATTGTTGACAAGTCCCAACTCAATTATGATTGACCAGGCTGTGCATTGAATGTGCAAGGATGCATGATCCATGGAAGATATATGAGTGCATTGAGGTCAATCTGTGATATATGCTGCATTTATACAATACACGTGCCTACTGCCTATAAATTTAAAGTCAGCCATTCTTACTGGCTTCATACAGCATACCAAATACATCTAGCATGTATGCTATAAGCACTTTTCCTGAGGTTTTTGGCCAAATACTTATCTACTCTCCAGTCCACACCTTGGAACTTGGCATAGTTTGGATGATTTGTACAAAGATCTTTGGTTTATGTTTATTATATTCATTGTTGCCTGGATGCATACAACCAAAATAAATGTTGTGGCATACTGTATGTGGCAGGAATACATAGTTACATGGTTAGTCTGGCTAAAAAAAAGTCAAAAGTCCATCCAATTCAACCATTAAAAAACAAATTATAATCCTACACCCACAGTTGATCCAGAGGAAGGCAAAAAAAAACCCCAGCAAAGCATGATCCAATTTGCTCCTGCAGGGGAAAAAATTGTTCCTGATCCACCGAGAGGCAATCGGATATTCCCTGGATCAACTTTACCTATAAATGTTATATCCAGTTATATTCTGTGTATCCAAGTGTTCTGTTCCAGTTACTTTGCCATTTCTATTTCTTTTCTTTTTTAGGAGAACAGGGCCCTGGTGTAGGTTTTAACTTTGTTGTGTATAATATATTGAATAAAAAAGTACGGTTTTATATTTACCTTTATACTTATAGCCTTATAGATTATTGATAGAACTTTATTTAAAGTGTTACTAAACCCAGGACCCTGCATTCACTATATCTGCTCTCCCCGGACCCTGCATTCACTATATCTGGTATCACCGGACCCTGCATTCACTATATCCAGTCTCCCCGGACCCTGCATTCACTATATCCGCTCTCCCCGGACCCTGCATTCACTATATCTGGTCTCCCAGGACCCTGAATTCACTATATCCGGTCTCCCAGGACCCTGCATCCACTATATCTGGTCTCCCCGGACCCTGCATTCACTATATCTGGTCTCCCGGACCCTGCATTCACTATATCTGGTCTCTCCTGGACCTGCATTCACTATATCTGGTCTCCCCGGACCCTGCATTCACTATATCCGGTCTCCCCGAACCCTGCATTCACTATATTTGGTCTTCCCAGACCCTGCATTCACTATATATCTGGTCTCCCCGGACCCTGCATTCACTATGTCTGGTCTCCCAGGACCCTGCAGTCACTATATCCGGTCTCCCCGGACCCTGCATTCACTATATCTGGTCTCCCCGGACCCTGAATTCACTATGTCTGGTCTCCCAGGACCCTGCATTCACTATATCTGGTCTCCCCGGACCCTGCATTCACTATATCTGGTCTCCCCGGACCCTACATTCACTATATCCGCTCTCCCCGGACCCTGCATTCACTATATCCGGTCTCTCCAGACCCTGCATTCACTATATATCTGGTCTTTCAGGACCGTGCATTCACTATATCCGCTCTCCCCGGACCCCGCATTCACTATATCCGCTCTCCCCGGACCCTGCAATCACTATATCCGCTCTCCCCGGACCCCGCATTCACTATATCCGGTCTCCCCGGACCCTGCATTCACTATATCCGGTCTCCCCGGACCCTGCATTCACTATATCTGCTCTCCCCAGGCCCTGCATTCACTATATCTGGTCTCCCCCGGACCGCGCAGTTACTGTATCTGGTCTCCCCAGACCCTGCATTCACTATATCTGGTCTCCTCGGACCCTGCATTCACTATATATCTGGTCTCCCCGGACCCTGCATTCACTATATCTGGTCTCCCCGGTCCCTGCATTCACTATATCTGGTCTCCCCGGACCTTGCATTCACTATATATGGTCTCCCCGGACCCCGTATTCACTATATCTGGTCTCCCCGGACCCTGCATTCACTATATCCGCTCTCCCCGGACCCTGCATTCACTATATCTGGTCTCCCCAGACCCCGTATTCACTATATCTGGTCTCCCAGGACCCTGCATTCACTATATCTGGTCTCCCACAGTACACAGAAATTATTATTATTAAATATAAATTGCTAAATACCTTTTTGTCATCAGCAGTTCATAGCACTCTTGTGACTTTTATCAGTATCTGGCTTAGCACATGTTAAAGCTTGTAGGAGGAGTATTCATTTTTCTCTAGGAGGATGCAGAACCCCTGACCTCTGTCTGGACAGTGCTAATTGGCCCTGTGCTGATCACATGCACTCTCCCAAGAAAAAGAAAAAAAAAACCTCTCTAGCAATACACACCATTCTGAGCATGTGCAGAGTGACTCCACACAATATGACTTATCAGGAATCAAGAAGGGGGCACTGGAAGAAGGGGGTAATCAGAGAAGTCAGGATCAAACAGTGTTTTTACACAATGCAGAGGATTAATCTCTTAGGTTTCACAGTAAGTATAACAAGCATGCTTTACTGCATAGACTGTACAGACTGATTTTACTATTGTGGGTTTAGTAACACTTTAAGTGGACTACATGAACTTTTTGCTTAGTTTGGTTCAGTCTAACTTTTCTCAATATAAGGCCTCATGCACACAGGATGTTCTGCTAATTCTCCTAGATGCATTTTCACCTGGCCGCTGTGTTTTTGTAGCAGAAAAAAATGATTTATGCTTGTAAACTCGTGTAGCATGTTTAGGGACGTCAAGAGCTTGTAGTAGTATTGCTATTGGTTGCTATGACGGGAGTGACTTTTGGGAGTGGGGGGACCTCTGTATCATCTTCCCTAATTCCCATTATGTTTAAGGCACCCTGTGCCTGTTAAGGGGTACAGGGTGTGTATGTGAATGTCTGAGTCTTGTGTATAGTGTGTGTTCCTTTGTTCTCGGCCACATGGCTGTCCATTGTCTGTTTGCCACGTGCTACCCCCCATTGTGCTGTGTCTTCCTGTCCAGCCAACTATTATGGGTTGTACTGTTTGTGTATTGGTGTGGGGGTTGGTCAATGTCCTTTGCCATGTGTTTCATCCCATTGTTCTGTGTCTTGGTGGGATGGGGCGGGCTGATGATGTATTTCCTGTTCCTGGTTGTCTTTCCCCGCCCTCTGAATATATCCTGTGTTTTGTGTACAATAAAGAGAGTTGGCTTCCTGTTTTAAGAAGAGCTGGGTGCTGTCTATTTCCTGAAGGATTTCAAGGGTGTGGTCCGTGGAAGGTGTCGGACTGGGAAGTTGTGGTATAACGGAAAAACTCAGTGCGGTCTGGGTTCCGGTTCCGTTACAGTTGCATATTGTCAATAAAAGTCGCAATCTAGATATTAAAATTTCATACATAGTCACTCACCTTCCAGGGTTGAGCATCATTAATATTTGAGCACACTCGATGATTGAAATATCCCTCGGATACAGTTGGACAGTCAAGTAGTGAATGCAGAGCATGTGTGTAGGCATATACTGCCAGGTAAGCATGATAAGTCAAGCTGAGATCATTTGTCTCAAATAATTGAACAATCTTGCTTTTGAGCCCTTCTTGTCCAGTGCAGGCCACACCATCTAGTTCTCCATCAAGCCAGTGGCAGCTGAAAGCTTTCTCCCAGAACAGCTTAATGAAGGGGTAGGTTGAGCTGACATTTGGGTGAAGGTTTAGGAGGAACTCCTCAAACCCTGGCATAGAGGCAGTACTGGCAACCAGTCCAATTGTCCCATTTAGAACCTTCCAGGCTTTCTTGGAGAAAAGTCCAGGGGTGATTATAAAGGAAGCTGAAGTGATGAAAATTTTCCCAGTTACTCCTTCATCAAACATGACATCTAGCAGGGCCTTCACATGGACCTCTGGGCTATGGAGAACGATCACATTGACGGAGCTTCTTTTAATGACATCCACCACTCTCTTGATCTGCTGGGATGAATACCTCACATGTATTTTCTCCAGAAAAGAAACACAGCCTCCATTTCTCTCAATTCCAGCTTGTATAATCTGGGCACCCTGCTGCCCAACATCATTGTCCACCACCAACATACCAACCCAAGTCCAACCAAACTGCCCAACCAGCTGGATGAGAGCAATGTTCTGAAAGAGGTTGCTGGGCATGGTGCGGAAAAAGGATGGAAAGTTAATTTTATTGCTTAAGGATGACAGTGTCGCCCCATGACTGATCTGAAAAGGGAACAAGGTACATATCTTTACTTGGTTGATTTTGGCATGAGGATACTTACAAGTGATCATCATTCTAAATATGTGAGGCTTTCAGTTCAAATTTAAGGCTCCAAAACAACAAAAAAGTAATTTTTAAAATACATCTTTGCATCCTGAGATATTTTCATAAGAGGTGCTTCTAACTGTGTACCAAGGTTTCACTCAGTAATCTTGTTGCTCTACAACAAAATTCAATTACAGGGCAAATCACACAAGGACTTTGTTGCTTCCAAAGAAAATCGGTTGATGGATTGATCTTATAGATCTGTTTTGAGGTGTCTAAAGACTGACTTGAGCTCTAGTTGACTGACAGACCTCCACAGAGATACAATTCTTCAGTAGCACTAAGAAGGTAGCCTTCTTCTCACAAAAGCCTCCTGCTCTAGTAATCGTGTTACCTCCTCCCTTGCTCATCTCTAGGACTTCTCTAGAGCCTCTCTCATCCTCTGGAACTCCCTTCCCCAGTCTATTCCTCTATCCCCTTTACAGTGTCTTGTCCACGGTAGAAGTTCTGGAAGATCTGGCATTTCTGCCAGTACTCTACATGGCCGCAGAGGTACACATCAGCCTCAGTCTGGTGCCAGACGGCCTTTATAAGGAGGCTCATCACTTCCTCTTGTTGCTGGATGATCTCTTGCTCCCCGTGCCCTGTTCCTGGTTCCTGTTTCCTGTGATTCTGACTTGTGATTTCCTGTTACCAACTCAGCTTGCTTCTGGACCTGTTTACTCTGATTTACCCCTGATCTGACCTCGGCTTGGCTTACGGATACTTTCTCTCTCTCTCGCTTCTCTGTGAATGACCTCGGCTATCCCATCTGACTACATCCGCTCTGATTCCCACCTGGTACCTGACCTTGGCTTGAACCGACTACCCAGTAAACATCCAAATCCCAGAAAGGCTTGCATACCATGCACAGGTGACTCCTGTCTGCTGACCCATCTCTGTGCACCAGCTGTGCTTCTGAATGGACCACCAACCAGCACTCCTACAGGCGACCTGTGCAACTTTTGGCCTGACTCCCGCTGTCCCCCACTCTTAGCTGCAAGGGAAGCCCTCTCTCCATTGGCCTCCATCACCAGGTACGTGATACCTCTACTCTGTCCACCTTCAGGCAACAAATCCTTGACAACACACCTGCTTAGGGAAGCCTATCCTGCCTTCCCCTACAAATTGAATTTTAGTTTCTCCATCAGCTCATCTCCCACAGTTACTACCTTATGTATCTGTTGCTTCTCCATTTAGACTGTAAACTCTCATGAGAAGGACCCTTCTGAATCTCTTCTATTGGATTGGATTGTGACTGTACAACCTCCCTTTTTTTTTAAAAAAAAAATCTGCTGGCGCTCTAATCTTGTAAATTATTGATAATAACATACCTGTGGATAATGAAGGACACCAAGTATTTGAGCAATGGGAATAGATAAGGCAGAAAGCTGTTCACCTACAACCCCGACCATGACTGAAGATGTATGACAATTATAACCAGGAAAGGGATTTTCAATTCCTGACAGCAGGGACAGAACTCCTCTCATAGCCCGGAGCTCGGACATACAGGAATCCAACAGGCTAAAGCCAAGAGTGATATTAGGCAGTAGGTCCGGAGAATTGTTAACTTCATCTACTGCAAACATGAGTCCCAGAATATCCCGATAGTAACGAATATGGAACCTACACAAGATGAGAGAACATTGAGATATCAGGGAATATAGTATGTATTATGCAAGGTGTGCACACCCCCTATGACTTTTTTCAAAAAAAAAAGAGAAGATAGAGAGTAAACTAATACTGTGTACAGAACAGTAGATCTTTATGTGTAGATAACATTCTAGAACACAAGAGACTTAGAGACAAAGAAGGTTATTTCTCGAGTCCATCTCCTTTCCTGTTGCAAATTTTATCAATGCACACTCATAAGCATCACTTTGACTTGTGAGCAGAAACTGTTAACAAAGACAAAGAAAGGACTTCAGGGAATCCGATAACTTTACCTAACCAACCCTTCTCACCTTTATCACTTTCCACCTACTTCTTCCAAATATGATGCCTATCTTTCTTCTCCCCAGTTCTCACTTCCAGTTAAACTCTTGCCACCACTCAACACTACTTGCAAGACCATGTTGACTATACTACAGTATTTTCTTACTTCCCTTTAATCCCATTATACAGACCTCATCAACAAGACTTTGCTCCAAGGGGTAAAAAAAAAAATTGCACCATGCTTAGTGTAGATGCTCCTACTACATGGCTATTTTGAG